TGGGTAGAGTGCTGTGGTGTCACAGCTCATAGCAACCTCCAACTCTTGGGCTTAAGCGGTTCTCTTGCCTCAGTCTCCCAAGTAGCTGGGACTACAGGTGCCTGCCACAATGCCTGGCTATTTTTTGTTGCAGTTGTCATTGTTGGTTAGCCAACCCAGGCCAGGTTTGAACCCTCCAACTTTAGTGTATGTGGCTAATGCTGTAACCACTGTGCTACAGGCACCAAGGCTTTTGCTCGCTTTTTTAGTGGGGTTGATTTTTTCTTGCTGATTTGCTTGAGTTCTTTGTAGATCTGGTTATCAGCCCTTTGTTGGATGTATAGCATGCGAATATTTTCTCCCATTCTATAGGTTGTCTATTTGCTCTGCTGATTGTTCCCTTGACTGTGTGGAAGACTTTTAATTTAATCCAGTCCCATTTATTAATTTTTGTTATTGCTGTGATTGCCATTGGGATCATCTTTATAAATCCTTTGACTAGGCTGGTGTCTATAAGAGTTTTCTCAACACTTTCTTCTAGAACTTTCAGTCTCATGCCTTAGGTTTAAGTCTGTTATCCACCATGAATTAGTTTTTGTGAGTTGTGAAAGGTGCAGATCCTCTGTCAGTCTTGCACACGTGACTTTCCAATTTCCCCAGCACCATTTTGAATGGCAATTCCTTTCCTCAGTGATTATTGTTGTCTGCTTTGTCAAAGATCAGTCAGAAATATGAAAATGGTTTTTGTATCTGGGTTCTCTGCTCTGTTCCATTGGTTGATGTTTCTATTTTTTGTGCTAGTATTTTTTTTTTTTTTTTTGAGGCAGTCTTACGTAGGCCCTGGGTGGAACGCCGTGGTGTTATAGCTCACAGTAACCTCAGACTCTTAGGCTCAAGTGATCCTCTTGCATCAGCCTCCTGAGTAGCTGGGACTACCGGTGCCCATCGCAATACCTGGCTAGATGGGGTCTTGCTCTTGCTCAGGCTAGTCTCAAACTCCTGAGTTCAAGAAATCCAAGAGTGTGTGCCACTAATTAAAAAAAAAATTTTGTCAAGGTTATACATGGGCATAGTTCTACAAGGCCTGTTATAAAAATCCAGCAGACCCCCCTCCCCCATCCTATTTCCTGCTTGCCGGAGTCAACCACTCAACTCTTGTAATTAGCTGACCTTGCCAGTAGTTACACTTATAGTCTTGAAATGACACACATATTTATATGGTCAATTTTTCAGTTTTAGGCATTGTCTATTGATATTTTAATATGGAAAAAGGAAGTTAAGCTTGTTTCTTCATGTACCCTTCCTTCTTCTCAAATAGTTATGTTATAATTTTAGTTAGATCAATATGTCATGAGCTTATCATTTTTTTTTTTTT